GATCCTAGTGTGGTCTGGTATATACGGTGAGGGAGGAAGCATCATAGTGTGGTCTGGTATATACTGTGATGGAGGAGGCATTATAGTGTGTGGACTGGTATTTACAGTGAGGAATGAAGCATCATAGCGTGTGGACTGGTATATACCGTGAGAGAGGAACCATCATAGTGTGTGGACTGGTATATACAATGAAGGAGGAAGCAACATAGTGTGGACTGGTATATACAGTAAGGGAGGAAGGATCCTAGTGTGGTCTGGTATATACGGTGAGGGAGGAAGCATCCTAGTGTGGTCTGGTATATACGGTGAGGGAGGAAGCATCATAGTGTGGTCTGGTATATACGGTGAGGGAGGAAGGGTCATCGTGTGGTCTGGTATATACAGCGAGGGAGAAGACATCATAGTGTGGACTGGAATATAGTGAGGGAGGATGCATCAAAGAATGGTCTGGTATATTCATTGAGGAAGGAAGCATCATAGTACGTGGAGTGATATTTATACTGAATGAGGAAGCACCATAGAGTGGAGTGTTATATATAATGAGGGAGGAAGCATCATAGTGTTGTCTGGTATATACAGTGGGGTAGGAAGCATCATATTGTGGACTGGTATGTACAGTGAGGGAGGAACCATCATAGTTTGTGGACTGGTATATACAGTGAGGGAGGACACATCATAGTGTGGTCAGGTATATACAGTGATTGAGGAAGCATCATATTGTGAACTGGTATGTTCAGTGAGGGAGGAAGCATCATAGTGTGGAGTGTTATATACAATAAGGGAGTAAGCATCATAGTGTTGACTGTTATATTCAGTAAATGAGGAAACATCATAGTGTGGTCTGGCATGTAGGGTGAGGGAGGACGCACCATAGTGTGGTCTGGTATATACGGTGAGGGAGAAAGGATCTTAGTGTGGTCTGGTATATACGGTGAGGGAGGAAGCATCATAGTGTGGTCTGGTATATACGGTGAGGGAGGAAGCATCATAGTGTTGTCTGGTATATACAGTGAGGTAGGAAGCATCCTAGTGTGGTCTGGTATATACGGTGAGGGAGGAAGCATCATAGTTTGTGGACTGGTATATAGAGTTTGGGAGGAAGCATCTTAGTGTGTTCTGGTATTTTCGGTGAGGGAGGAAGCATCATAGTGTGGTCTGGTATATACAGTGAGGGAGGAATCATCATAGTGTCGACTGGTATAGACAGTGGGCGAGGAATCATCATAGTGTGATCTGGTATATACAGCGAGGGAGGAAACATCATAGTGTGTACTGGTATATACAGTGAATGAGGAAGTATGAAAGAGTGGTCTGGTATATACAGTGAGGAAGGAAGCATCATATTGTATGGAGTGGTATTTATACTGAGGGAGGAAGCACCATAGTGTGGACTGGTATATTCACTGAAGGGGGAATCACCATAGTGTCGACTGTTATATACAGTGAGGGAGGAAGCATCATTGTGTGGTCTGGTATATACAGTGAGGGAGGAAGTATCAAAGAGTGGTCTGGTATATACAGTAAGGGAGGAAGGGTCATGGTGTGGTCTGGTATACACAGCGAGGAAGGAAGCATCATAGTGTGGACTGGTATATACAGTGAGGGAGGAAGTATCATAGTGTGGACTGGTATATACAGTGAGGGGGGAAGTATCAAAGAGTGGTCTGGTATATACATTGAGGAAGGAAGTATCATAGTGTGGACTGGTATATACAGTGAGGGGGGAAGTATCAAAGAGTGGTCTGGTATATACAGTGAGGGAGGAAGGGTCATGGTGTGGTCTGGTATACACAGCGAGGAAGGAAGCATCATAGTGTGGACTGGTATATACAGTAAGGGAGGAAGCACCATAGTGTTGTCTGGTATATACAGTGAGTGAGGAAGCATGATAGTGTGTTCTGGTATTTTCGGTGAGGGAGGAAGCATCATAGTGTGGTCTGGTATATACAGTGAGGGAGGAAGCATCATAGTGTCGACTGGTATAGACAGTGAGGGAGGAAACATCATAGTGTCGACTGGTATAGACAGTGAGGGAGGAATCATCATAGTGTGGACTGGTATATACAGTGAGGGAGGAAGTATCATAGTGTGGACTGGTATATACAGTGAGGGAGGAAGTATCATAGTGTGGACTGTTATATTCAGTGAGGGAGGAAGCATCATAGTGTGTGGACTGGTATATACACTGAAGGGGGAAGCACCATAGTGTCGACTGTTATATACAGTGAGGGAGGAAAGATCATAGTGTGGTCTGGTATATACAGTGAGGGAGGAAGCATCATATTGTCAACTGGTATGCTCAGTGAAGTGAGGTGAGGTGAAATTGGGTTCTACGTCGTACTTGAGAATATTTCGCTCATATGACGATGTGCATGCGTGTGTATGTGTATGTGTATGTGCGGCTGCTTGTACTAGCCCAGACTTAAGCTGGTTTTATAGTGCTAGCCCACTGAGATACCATGCCGCAGTGAAGCATGAATACCCCACTCAGACACATTATACTGACTCCGAGCCGACCAGTCCTTGTTGTACCCATTAATGCCGAGCGCCAGCCAGGAACCAACAAGTACCATATTTTAACGTCTTTTTGTATGACGCGGTCGGGAATCAAACCCACGACCTTCCGCTCTCCGGGCGGACGCTCTAACCACTACACCACGGAGGCGGTCCGGTATGTTCAGTGAGGGAGGAGGCATCATAGTGTGGACTGGTATATACAGTGAGGAAGGAAGCATCATAGTGTGTGGACTGGTATATACAGTGAGGGCGGAAGCATCATAGTTTGTGTACTGGTATATATAGTAAGGCAGGAAGCACCATAGTGTTGTCTGGTATATACAGTGAGTGAGGAAGCATGATAGTGTGGACTGGTATTTTCGGTGAGGGAGGAAGCATCATAGTGAGGTCTGGTATATACAGTGAGGGAGGAAGCATCATAGTTTGTGGTCTGGTATATACAGCGTGGGAGGAAACATCATAGTGTGGACTGGTATAGAAAGTGAGGGAGGAAGTATCCAAGAGTGTTCTGGTATATACAGTGAGGGAGGAAGCGCCATAGTGTGGACTGTTATATACAGTGAGTGAGGAAGCATGATAGTGTGGACTGGTATGTACAGTGAGGTAGGAAGCGTCATAGTGTGGACTGGTATATAGCGTGAGAGAAGAAGCATCGTAGTGGACTGGTCGATAGTGTGAGGGAAGAATCATCATAGTGTGGACTGGTATATACAGTGAGGGAGGAAGCATCATTGTGTGGACTGGTATATACAGTGAGGGAGGAAGTTCCATAGTGTGGTCTGGTATATACAGCGATGGAGTAAGCATCATAGTCTGTGGACTGGTATATATAGTGAGGGAGGAAGCATCACTGTAGACCAGTACGATGCTTCCTCTCTCACTGTATATACCAGTCCACACTATGATGCTTCCTCCCTCACGCTATATACCAATATACAAACTATGATTCTTCTTCCCTCACTGTGCACCAGTCCACACTATGATGATTCCTCCCCCAATGTCTATACCAGTCCACACTATGATGCCTCCTGTCTCACTGTATATACCAGACCACACTATGATGCTTCCTCCTTCACCGTAAATACCAGAACACACTATCATGCTTCCTCACTCACTGTATATACCAGACAACACTATGATGCTTCCTCCCTTTTTGTATATACCAGTACACAAACTAGGTATATACCAGTCCACACTATGATGCGTGCTCCTTCACTCCATATACCGTCCACACAATGATGCTTACTCCTTCCCTGTATATAACAGTCGACACTATGGTGCATCCCCCTTCAGTGTATATACCAGTCCACAGGGAGGAAGCATCATAGTGTGGACTGGTATATATAGTGAGGGAGGAAGGATCCTAGTGTGGTCTGGTATATACAGTGAGGGAGGAAGTACCATAGTGTAGACTGGTATATACAGTGAGGGAGGAAGCATCATAGTTCGGACTGGTATATACAGTGAGGGAGGAAGCATCATAGTGTGGACTGGTATATACAGTGAGGGAGGAAGCATCATAGTGTGGTCTGGTATATACAGTGAGGGAGGAAGCATCATAGTGTGGACTGGTATATACAGTGAGGGAGGAAGCATCATAGAGTGGACGGGTATATACTCTGGGAGAGGAAGCATCATGAAGTTGACTGGTATATACAGTGAGGGAGGAAGCATCATAGTGTGGTCTGGTATATACAGTGAGGGAGGAAGCATCATAGTGTGGACTGGTATATACAGTGAGGGAGGAAGCATCATAGAGTGGACGGGTATATACTCTGGGAGAGGAAGCATCATGAAGTTGACTGGTATATACAGTAAGGGAGAAAGCTTCATATTGTGGACTGGTATATACAGTGAGGGGGAAAGCTTCATAGTGTGGACTGGTATATACAGTGAGGGGGAAAGCTTCATAGTGTGGACTGGTATATACAGTGGAGGAGGAAGCATGCTAGTGTAGACTGGTATATACAGTGCGAAAGCATGCATCATAGTGTGGACTCGGGTTTTATTGTGTCGGGGTAATCAAACTATGACAAATAGGGATATCGCAATGTTTCTTTAAAGGCTAGAGAATTCTGTTGAGGAAAAGCAAGTCATGCAAGTTCCGATCTACCAAATACGGTGCCTCGATAACAGACTGAAGCACACACTTTCACACAACGGATCCGTGAAGATCCCGGCTAGATTTCGTCTTCAGCAACCCATCCTTTTCGTAAGAGGCGTCAAACCTGATCGGGTGGTCAGACTCGCTGATCACTGGATTGTCTGGTCCAGACTCGATGATTTACAGACCGCCGCCATATAACTGAACCAACGACACACACACAACGACACACAAGCTCCATGTTACATAAACCATGTGCGGATACCTGGGTAAGTTATGTTATCAGGTAGCTGCAGCTGCGGTGATGTTATCGTCGTCCTGGTTTGCCAAGATAGTATCACATGGTCACACAAGGTCCATTCATTGTGCACTGAAGTACATTGTGGGTGTTAGTTCTCCCCGCAGACAGTACGCCACATCTTACTTGTGTGTTCATCGTCTTCATTCTGAGGTCTCCAGTGACACTTTCTGAGTGTGTTGCTGTTGCACACCCCGGGAAGAGGACGTCACGTACAACTGATTCTGGTGAGTTCATCAACATAACTTAAATCCCTGAATCTATAAAGGGAGTGCTCGTGAGCGTGGGTCACTTTTTCTAAAGGGGCGGTGGGTAACCCAGTGGTTGAAGCGTTCGCTCGTCACACCGAAAACCAGGGTTCGATTCCCCACATGGGTACAATGTGTGAAGCCCATTCTGGTGTCCCCTGCCATGATATTGCTGGAATATTGCTAAAAGCGGCGTAAAACTAAAACTCACTCACTCATTACTTTAAAGTTTATAAATGTAGCTAAATGACACCGATCATACATGTACAATAGTACATTTTATGGTTTCATCATCAGGTTTAATACTCCCAAAGCGATAGTTTGAAAAGGTAGTCGCATGCACTTATAACCAAGTGGAGCATCTCACCTTTCATCCAACTTTATTTCACGTCCCTTTTCGCACCTCGCCTTTTATCCCCCTGCATATTACGTCTCCTTTCCCATCTCAGCGTCATCCTACCTCAACCTTCAATCTTCGAATATTACATCCCCATTTTCACCTCGCCCTTCACCCCATCTCTCCATTCAGACAACTGCAGGCTACATCCCCCTCCCATCTCGCCTTTGATCCCTCCTCCCTCATCTCATCGCTCGATTCAGACCACTGTAGATTACATCCCCCTCTCCCACTTCACTCCTCCTCCCTCCTCCCTCTTCGTACCACCACATCCTTAATCCCACTTCATCATTCACCCTTCCTCTCTCTTCATCCCACCACACGTTTCGCCCCATCTTACTGTTCAGACAACTGTAGACTACATGTCCTCTCCCTTCATACCACCTCATTCTTCTTACCAACGCACCTTTCATCCAAGCTCACCTTTCACCTCTCCTCCCTTTTCAAACCACCTCACCCTTCACCAAAACACATCATCTAGCCCACCACACCCTTCATCCCATCACACCGTTAAGACCACTGTATATTACATCCCCTCTCCCACCTCACCTTTCGTCCTTCCTACCTTTTCATACCACGACACATTTATCCCACCACACCTTCATCCCACCTCACCTTTCAGCCCACTAAATGGTACGTCACTCCCACCTCACCCTTCTCCCCACCCCACCTGTCATCATTCCACCTCACCCTTCTCCCACCTCACCTTTTATCCTACCTCATCCTTCCCCCCACCTCACTTTTAATCACTGTATATAACACACCCTCTTCCACATCACCCTTTATCCCCATGTAGATTACACCCCCATCCGCACCTCACCTTTGCTTCCCTGTGCATATTTATAGATCTACTCCACACCTCAACCCTCCTTCTTCAGTGTGTACTACCTGCCCTGTCCACCTCACCTCCATCCCAACGCTCCTTTACTGTACATCAAATTTCCTCTACACTTTAACCCTTTTTCTGGGACAATCATGGGTCAGGCATGATAGATCGCTGCTACTGTTTGATAAACATATACTACATGTACATTGTGTTCTCGTGTAAATGTGCAGCTACTTGGGACTTTGATAAACGCCACTGTGTCGCGGTGTTATCACTCCAGATACCTGTACTTTGGTAAACTACACATGTCAGTGTGATCGCACAATCAGTAGCACTATGAAGTGCATAACTCCCACAGATCTGATATCATTTATACTGTATGTAAGAGAGACCAGTAACAAAGCTTGATATAAAGCTTAATTAAATTATAAAACATTCTGGATAGAATAGAATACAATTTTGGGGAGACATCCCTTAAATGTTAGGGTCGTGATTCACAATTTGCAGGACCGTCTTGCATATTAATACACGGACCATAATTTTTTGTTGGGAGCTTTACACGTGATTTTTCACAGCAAACAATGATTCTTCATCTATCGGGCCTTCCTAAAGAAACACTTTTAGTTAAACTAAAACTTATGAAATGCCACTCAATATCAAATATTCACTAAATACCAAAGCTTGCGTGAGGTGATGTTGTAGAGTACAAAGTTATTGTTAACTGTTATGTGAGGTGACATTATCTACAGCAGTGTACCACTTATGACTTGTCATGGGCTTGTTGTCCATGTGTCAACACGTCAACAAACAGCCATATTCGGTTGTTCCATCTACTGCCACATTAACAGTTCGGGCAATTCCTGGGTTGGGATCAGCAGGTGGCAGAACCCATCGCCACCAGTTGAGAGAGTGCGGATCCGGCCCAGAAGTCCAGTTCCAACCCTCACAATTGTGCTTGTACATCACCACCAGGCACGCCTAGCTGCAGACAGCATCTGAGGTTCAGCAGTACACTGTTCACAGAGGAATCCGAGTGTCATCTACACTACTCTCATGATGACCCGTGAAGGTCCGGGTTAGCATTGATCTTCAGTAACCCATGCTTGTCGTAAGAGGCGACTAACGGAATTGGGTGGTCAGGCTCGCTGACTTGGTTGACACATGTCATCAGTTCCCAGTTGCGCAGATCGATGCTCATGCTGTTGATCACTGGAGTGTCTGGTCCAGACTCGATTATTTTTCAGACCGCCGCCATATAGCTGGAATATTGCTGAGTGCGGAATGATCATTGTTAGTTTGTACTAGGTCGTTCATATTTCACATATTGTACATATTTTTATTGCTTAAAAATCGTGTTATGAATAATCCCTCTGTTTTCCTCTAGATATTAGACTGCACAGCCAATATTTTTAACATGAGTTGTGCAAATAAGAAAGCCCTGCATGACAAACAGGTTTAACAAAAAGGTGTAATGTTTGGTTATACTCCTCCACAAGGCCAGTGGTACCAGAAGCAATGCTATTGTCTTGAAAAACTTGCAGTCATTCAAACTGAAACTAGTATTAATGCCATATTGGCCGATCTTTCTTGAGAAATGTTAGAAAGTGAGCATGTCATGTTTGGTGCCCATGATGTGCAATTTTACAAAAAAAAACGCTTGCAGAGTCGTAGGCAAGTTAACAGTCTGCTCTTGGAGGTTGGCACCATGTACACTAGCCATGTTTGTGTGCCTGGATTCTCCAGAAATACTCCGCCCATAAATGAAAACCTGAGTGACTATAGTATGGAATAATGGTAAGGACATTGTCGCGATCTCAGCCTTTAACAATGAGGTACCTCGTCGAGATATTTGTAAATCAATTCCCATTTTTTCTAGTAAGTTGTATTTTATCTAATCCTACTTTCCCTTTTGCTGTTAGCATATGGATTCTTCAGTTATGCGGGTGTTTTTAGACAGGAAAAATACAATTAAGTTAAATAATTATTGCTTAGTGAAAGACCAAGCTTGTATGTACTATGGTAAGTGTGACAGTTTTTCGTTAGTTATGGAGGTACAAGGCACAAAGATAACAGAACGAATCATGCTTTCAAGCAGTCCTAAAACATATCGTTTAATGGTTCATTTTATCACATGTACGGTTTGAGCTGAAATGAAAGGCGCAGTATTTATCAAACAACAGATAGTGTCGTCCATTTCGCTAGAACACCGCCCCACTTTTTAACCCTGTCAACAAGAGTTATCTAATCGGTAAACGGTTAACTGTGTCTGCTCTATCACGGGTCAATATTTAAAGATGCCATGACAGTGTGGAAGGATCTGGAATCATGTCTGTCACAACCACATAGAACCTCAAGCACAGTAACATACAACAAGATCAGTTCAATAAACATTGTGACGCTCGTAATTTTCATCGTCAACGGCCGTTGAACGTTTCATAATAGATTTATTGTCACCCCTTTTATTTAAAAGAATAAAAACTGATGTTTTCGACATTAGAGTAACTCTGACAGATGACATGAAACCAGGTCAGAACCTCAAGGTTGATTTGCTTCAACATTTAGCTGTAAGTTTACTGAGTCTTACGTACATTACAGCCAACACCCTTGGGTGTGTTGGAGTACAGCCATATTTTAACCTGCTGATCTGATTGTTAACTACCTGACGGAAGTTCATCTGTATCATAAATTGTAACTGTGTACTGACAATAACAAATTGCGTGCTTCTGAATTTGGTGCTATGACATTTTCTGTTTTTAAATGACAGTGAAATGAATGTATGTGGTTTTGAAATAAAACTCATTTGAATTTTGTACTTAAAATGTTTAATAAAGCAGACTTGTTCTCGTCACTATATGGCTGGAAAAATGCCGATGTAATGTAACGTAAAGCCAAACTCAACTCAACTTAACCTGCAGACAAGCCGGCGTTGAATGACCATGGATTCGTCATTGCTGGGACCTGTCGGTTTCTTGACTTCACGTCACTCGACACCACAGTGTCAGGAAACGTGACAATCGTGACGAAAAAACAGGCCCTTGTGTCGTTACTCAAATATTTATGAATCAAATAATGTTACGAATGTCGAAAATGCAATACACCCTGTGTATCTTTAGCACAGAACCTTCATATGTACCTTGTCTTGGTGATTATGGTGGCCATTCCAGTATATGACACTTCGCTGTTATTTATTGCTATTTAAATAATATCGACCGATGGCTGTGGAATAACCAGTTTGAATCCAACTGAGCAGAAATGACCAGCATCGGAACTGCGTTTGTGGGCGTTTCTGAATCAGCTCTGATGTATTCATGCGCAACTATGACTTGCCGGTCAGAAGGCCTAGGAATCACCCGGGGTGTATTACATGATGTTTGTGTTCCTGAAGGTTATATCATTGGTAGAATTTATTTACTGAAGTTAACTGATTATGTATAACTGAGGAAAATATTCCTTTGAAATCGGTGGAATCAGGTAGCTAGCCACGCATTGTAACAGAGGGATCTGCTTACATGTTTTGTAAGGGATGGTGATTAGTGGTGACAGGTTGCCCATGTATTTAAATATTGCAACAACCTTTCTTTAACAAGCTGTATCCCCTACAAAATATTTTTTAGTAACTGAATATGCCTCTGGAGGAAAAGAGACGTGGTTATTGCTTCCTTTAATTTGACAAGCATTCCCTTTAGTCAACCAATCATTCAAACTTCATTCTTATAAACACCACATTGTAACAAGAGAATATTTACCACATCAATT